ATTTCTTTCTGGTTCTTTAATTCTGAAAAATTGTGTGACAGAGTGTATGTAGAAGACTCTAGCAAAACAGCCATATTAGAGGTATTTCCAAGACTTTTAGTGTATTATATCCTAAAAGAATTGTCCTCCAAACTCAGTTCCAGCTTGTTTCACTTTAGCAATTTTAATATAGACCATGGGATGACTGCCTAGAGTTAATTAAAAAAATAGCAAGAATTTGGTTGGTTTTGGATGTCCACATGTGTGCACCAAAACCTGTATTTACAAACTGTAGTTGGGGAATACGAGTCTGGGAGGTGGTTTTGCCTGTCTGTTGAAGATAAAGGTGTTCACCTAAGACGGACATACAAACTTCTTTGTTCTTTAAATGTTTAAATGTATCTGTGTATATATTTTATTAGACATGGAGTATTGGTATCTTGGCCTAAGCTATCTACAGTTATAAATTACTATTTGGATTTGGATTTTGACATAATTCTCAGTAACTAAGGAATCAGGGAATCATAGAAACATTTGGTTTGAAAAGACCTTTAAGATCAAGGATAAAGCATATGAGATACAAATTTTATGAACTTATTACATAGTCACTTTTATTCCAACCACAAAGCTGTGAGATGTTTCTCTGAGTGTAGCTTTTCAGAATGCAGTGTATTCAAATGTATTTGTTCCAATTTCTGTGACAGAGGTGGTAAAGTCTGAGGCTGAATTTTATTCGGGGAAATAACTAGGTCTGCTTACAGATTTGCAGTGCTTGGGTAGAAGGTGAAAGTTTACATTGCCCTTTCCAGTCCTTTCATGGCATAAAAAATTAACAATGCAAAGCGCATGGATTAATATCTCGTTGTTTGTTCTTGTTCTTTGCAAACATGTATAATCTTTAATAATCCTTTCTTGTACTTATGCCTTTTACAATCATGACTTTGAGGGCTGGCTACATAATAAAGTCTGAATCTTCACAAAGGAAGCAATGAAAGCGTGTGCTCCAAGAGACATGTTACATTTTATAGCCTCTAACAGTTGGTTCCATTATTCCCAATTGCCATTAGAGGAGCTTCTCCAGCTACTCCATTCCCTAGTGGTTAATGAGAGAAATCTGTCCACAGTTTATACTTGTACTATGTCCTAGCCTCTCTTTACTGCTGTAGCATTTGTTTCCTAAATGCATGAATATATAAATTGTATTGGTATCGACTGCCAGCCATTCCGGTTCATGTTGTGATAGGTAATGTTTTGTGGAAGGGTTTGGTGACTCTGTTTCTAATACTTGGATCTAAAGTTTTCAGCTGCATTTCACTGGTATCCATAAACTGTTCTTAGAGGTGAATCTGATGCTCTCCTGTAAGCAGCATAACACATCTCTGAGCTGTCCCTCTTTTTGTCTTTTTATTGTGAACCACATCCTTTTGGGATTGATATTTTGTGTTAGCAGTAGATGACTAAACCCATGCAATCAAAGATTTTTCACAGCTTAGAAGCTCACAAAAAGAAAACGGGTTTTGTCTCATGTGGCAACTTAATATACAGTGAGTATGGGCCGGGGCACAGTATAATGTTGTCCATTTGGCTTCTGTGCTTTAGGCACAGGTACTGTGAGCCATTTCTAGTTAAACATTTTGACAGCTTGGTTGTATTAGTTCAGTTGAGCATCTTTGTGTTTGGGCTGTGTGGTGGGCTGATGGTGGGTTGACCCTGGCTGGACATCAGGTGTCCACCAAAGCTGCTCTGTCATTCTCTCTCCTCAGCTGGGCAGGGGAGAGAAAATATAACAAGAAGCTCATGGGTAGAGACAGGAGATAAGGACAGGGAGAGATCACTCACCAATTACCGTCACAAGCAAAACAGTCTCAACTTGGAGAAATGAATTTAATCTATTACCAATCAAATCAAATGAGAAATAAAAATTAAATCTTAAAACACCTTCCCTCTCACCCTTCCCTTCTTCCCTGGCTCTACTTTATTCCCAATTTCTTTACCACCTACCACCAAGCGGCACAGGGAGTTGTGGTCAGTTCATCACTCGTCATTTTCTGCTGCGCTTTCTTCCTCAGGGGAGGAAGGCCAAGGTGCACAAGTGCTGCAAGTGACAAATAACTCCAGTTTTGTCATTTCTTTGTAAGAAGAAGCTTGCATTAGTTTTGATATTCAGAATCTTTTCATGCCTGAGCCGGTGTTTTCTATAGTGGTTTCTATATAGGAATCTATGCCTATGATCAAGAAAAGCTTGAGAATACAGATCTTTTGAGTCATCAGAGTTATGAGTGCAGAGAGTGGTCAAGCTGAAGTTAAACTCAACATGAATAAACCAGAATACAGTTCATGCCCCATATGTGTGCCAGCTGATGGAACATCCATGGTCTATGAATACACAGAGTTACAGTCTTCTGTGGTTAATTTCAAATATAAATTGATATGTTTATGCAAAAAAATACTGTAGACTGACATTTTATGTTAAGGCAGCGTTATCATCTCATACTTTAAGAGTGTTTCTGTATAGATTAGAAAGAGATTAGTGGATTCCCTCTTTCAGTATTGTGCATTCTAGCATGTCACCAAGAAAATAATGAAGTGGATCTGAAACAACAATAGGAAATAGCCATACAATGGAGAAACAAAAAATAGGGTAAAATTTAGGCTGCCTGATTTGGTAATAATGAAGTTGATAGAATAATTAAAAGTGGAGGTAGGGGAAACATCCTTTCTCAGTGTACCTGCAGCTCTGAAGAACTTGAGTATTTAAGTAAGTAGCAGCATTTCTTATTAGCCCCTAACATGATAGTTGCTTTATTTTAAATTTCTGTTTGGTAGAACATAAAAGATTTTTAATGAAAGGATACAATTCTAGTGAGCTTTATTTGATAGTCTGAGGGAGTTTTTCTCAAGCGATTTGTCAAGGCATCTTAAATGAGAATGTCTTGGTACCACAACAGCATGGCAAAACCAGCACACTAATAAACAGAGCTGTCCCTTTGCTGCAATTGCCATAGCAAAGCAACAGTTAAGCAGATTTTAAGATGTAATTCATAATCAATCAGATTCTTAAGTAGAAACATTTTACCTGAAATCACTGCTCAGCATCATACAGTATTTTCTGCAGTGCAGAAGTGGAGTAATTAAGAAAAATATTTCAAGCAAAGGAGATCAACATAAAAATAGGCTTTTTGGTAGAAATTATTAAATGTTTGCTGCCCACTTGAATGTTAAACCATGTTGTAAATGATTGTGAAATATGGGTACTTCTCTTCCTTCCTCTTAAAATGCTTATACAAAGAGAATGGGGTTGAAGAGGGACTATAACCAAAGGAAACAACCTTGTGCATAGTTTATACAACAACAAAAAAACCCTTTCTTTGTTCTCAAATGTTAAAAATAATGTGTTTTTCACTATATTGAACCAAGTGAATTTGTCTTTCAACAGTTTAAGTTGTAACGATGTCTTCTGAAAGTATTAGCTCTTTGACCTTGATAATGCTTCTCTATCAATAAACTGAGCAAAAGGGTAGAAAAACAATTTTTTCTTTCAGGTCAGAGCGCGATGATGACAGATTGCAACAAAGTCATTGCAAAATCTTCTGTTACAATTTTCCCTCCTTTATAACTTTAACATTGTTCCTGACAGCTTAATTCTCCATTTCCCTTTCCCCAATCTTTCTTTTGATAGGTTTGCCTTGTTCTTTTTTTATTTCTCATGCTTCTTTTAACATGTTTCCTATTCAGTGGAGTTCATTACCTTTTGCATTTCTTTCTAGCATTCTGTCTCTTTTTTAATAATAACTTCACCCTTTTGCAAGAAGAATGAATTTAAAGTGATATCAGGTTCAAGGATGCTAATACTCGAGTAGGTTTCTTCCTCTGCTTTCACTGGGTGTGTGTCATCTTCTAGGTCTTGACAAAGTTCGCACAATGTTTGAGTCCAACCAATTGCCTTCTAACCATCAGGTTCATCTCACTGTTCCATTTCTTTTTTGCTTTAAAGGTTTTCTGATAATTTATCAAAGTTGTGTAGGTTTTGAGGTACAGCCAGATTTTCTAAGCAAGGGAAGCCTGTTTAGAAAAGGATTGTTCAGAAAAAAGTTATTTCCTATTTGAGATGCAATTTATTGTCCTCTGAGGGCATATATTCTCTAATAAGTAACTGTTCATGTGCTTTGCTCTGGACTGACTCAGACTGCTGATTTTAAAGCTAAAATAAAGCTGTCAACACTTTGTCAGACCATGAAAAGTAAAGCACGCAGATAAAAATTGACGCGCAGAACGAGGGGATGAACCTTGGCACTCCTGGGAAAGGGAATCCCACAATACCTTTCACAGAAGTGAATACTTGAGATTCCTCTTTTGCTGGAAAAGAAACAAGTTATTAATATTTTTACGTTTATTTGGAAGCCAATGGTTATAACAAAACAAGTCTCTTGTAGACAATCCCTTTAGACAATACGGCTTCATGAGATGTTCTTTTTTTTCCACTGTTTTTTGTCTGTCTGCAGGAGAAAGATGTGATGATTACACCTATGCCATTTGCAAGGCCACAGGACTTAGGCCCTTCTATTGCTATTGTAGCAAAGGTAAACCAAATTCAGGATCATCTGCTGAAGAAACACGATATTGAGCTGTACATGCATCTGAACCGACTGGAAATTGCTCCACAAATTTATGGACTGTAAGTGTTTGCAAAGCATTATTTAATTTAATTCTGTCTATTTTTATTTCGTTATATTAGGACTTTTTTCCCTTAAATTTAGATTAGAGGAATGGGGCTAAAAAGGAGGACTTCTTATCTCTTAGAACTTGTTCAGTTGGTAGTATTACAGTAAATGACACCCCCTTGTTGTATTTGTGACAGTGGCATTCCTAGTGCAGATAAAGTCCATCCAGGTACATATTAGAGAACTTGACATAGACTTCTAGTGCAGTGATGAAGCACACAGTGAATCAAGTACATGTTCTGCCTGTGGTTTTCCTATATGAAGAAATGGTATAATAAGGCACAAAGAAGGAGGGAAAGGGAAAATTATTAGCATTGAATGGTTTATTTACTTATCACAAGTTCAGTGTCAGTGAACATTCCCCTGTTGCAATAATGGGGGTTTGGATACTGGTAATACAGGTGTGGTGGGGCATGTTAAAAGTTAAGGCATGTAGGTTATTAAAAAAAGTGTCTGTATGCAGAATCCAGGTAGTCCTGGCTCCATTAAACTGGCTCAGATCTGTTCAGCTGGTTGTGTATTGTACGCCCCATTCCAAGGGGTTACTGGGCCAGGTGTGATTTTGGATGTAGCCTTATGCTCGTGTTTGCACAGCATCGCATCCAAACCAGTTATGGGTGCCATAGTGAGTCTGGGGCAATATGGAGCATGCAACTTGGATGAACCAGGAGCTGTGAATTGGCTGTGGTTTTGAAGAAGAATGTTGCCTTCATCGTCTGGCATTCTAGATGTTTGATTCATTTTGATCATTCCTTAAACAGTTGGCAAGCCGTATATACAGTTGCAGTGACAGAAAAATGACACTTTTAATTTTTTTTTTTACTTTTTGCAGTGATGTAAAATAAGGTTGGTTTTGCCTTAAATGAAAGAAAAAAAATGTTTCATTTAAAGGTGTGAATTTCCAAATGTAATTGTGAATTAATTTTAGCAACTCAATAGAAAATTTAGAAAGGGATAGAAAAGGTGACTGTATGTCAGGCCATAACTGCAATATTTAACATTAAAGTCTAGTTTGATGTTATAGTAAAATGGAAAAATGCTGCAACATAGTATACCCTCAAGAGAAGGGTTGAATGAAGATGAAGTAGTAGTCCCAGACTTGCCAATACCATATATTAGGAAGATAAATGTAATTCCACAAAACTTATTTAAATAGTTTTGGTAGGAATGGGCTACAGGGAGAGGAAGAATATGCCAAGTAGACTCAAGGTATTAAAAGTATGAAGAGGACAGATTGTCCTATTACAGTATTTTTTCCATAGTGTAGAGTAATGTATTTTCTTAATATCTTCACTAGTCTGGAAGTGAAAGAAAGCATCCCTAATAAACTTCAGGGGTAGTAATGAATAAGTAGGCAGTATAAATATAAAGGAAAACAAAAAGACAGTGTTTCTTTTTTATGAAGGCTTATGAAAACACACAGAAAATGAAATAAGATAAACCTCAGAAATTTGCAAACAGATATTTTGGGGCAAAAATAATTTGTACTGTAGGTACTCACTTCAGTATAAGATTTTGCCTTTCAGTAAGAGAAATAATTGAAAGAAAAAATTAGACTTTAGCTCAAAACATAACATTATAATAACAGAAGATCAGTGCAGTCTGATGTGGCATAAATAGAACTGAATCTGAATAAAGAAATTTACAGTTAAAGGAATGAATTATAAGAGAAAGCTTCAGGCTGACTATCAGGAAAACCTTGCTAACAGGGAGCTGTTAGACTGTAAAATAATATATCAAAATTAACAAAGGAAAAACCATCAGAATATTTCAAAGACAGGCTTTGAAAAGCACTCAGAAATGAGTAGTATCAGAGAGAATGAGTCTGCATTGGCAGAAGAGGAAAGTAGGTTGCCTGTGAGGTCATATCCTTCTCTGATTTTTGATTTAATATAGAGGACAGGAGAAAAAGAAAGGGAAAGGAACATGACTGTGTTGTATAATTCTCACCTTTAATGATGTCTGAACTCTTCAGAATAGTAATTTCTAGTAGTGAGCCACCTGACAGTCTCAGATGCTGGATCTTTTCCTGTATTTAACATTTATTGAACTAGAAACAGCATTTCTTAAACATAATAGGTTATTAATAATTGCTAAACCTAACCCAAGTGCAAAATTCATGTGAGCTTTTTGTTGAAGTTTATTGTTTTGCTGAAGTTTGTTGGATTTGCCAACAATCTATCAGCCTTTATATCACTCAAAAAATATACAAATGGTAGAAGGAAGACTGGAAACTTCCCTCAAAGGTATTATGGCGTTCCTAGTTAGAAGTATCAACACAAAAGGCTCGTATTTAGCGGCAGTCTCCCCTAGCCTGAACAAGTTATACTGCTTACTTATTTAAAAATGTAGCATTTTATACTTTGCATCCTACTAGAACCTTCTGGGGCAAGAGAAACAATTCTTACTTACTCTTTGTATTTTCCTACAGTTGATTTCAACCTTTGTTGTTTACAAATGGTTCTTCTATTTTTCAAACACTAGGGAGACTTGTCAAGTACTTTAGGCTGTTATACGTTTTCCATGTTCAGAAACATAACATAAAATTGAAATTATGCTTACCTGCTTCCAAGACCAACCTAAACAGGCATTTCAGTACATCTGCTACAATGCATTACTTTTGGTTGCTGTCCAGTAGTGCAAAGGTTGCATGCTGGTTTTGTGCAAAAGTGTACTCATTATAGTGTTTATCATTATAGTGTTTGTCGTATCAATGTGAAAAATCTTTATTTCTTCTTCATCAGTTAGTCCTCTGCAATCCGTGGTGTCATTAGCCTCAGCCTGGTATGCCAGGCTGCATGCTGGGAGGTGCTGCCAGTCTAGAAGTACTCTTTTCTCTGGGTAGTTTACATTTTTTGAAATTTTAGCTCAAGGGAGGAGATTTCTTTATCTTCCAGAGGTCATTGGTGAACAGACTTCACATAACCTGGCTGTCTCATTTCATTGCCGGTCAGAAAGAGAACCCTGTTAGATATAGCAAGGTATACGAGGGTCCTGACTGTGCCATACATCTGTGCTCTGGTCATTCAAGTTGGTGTATATACAGTAGCAGTCTTAGCACAGGAATTTCCATAGCTGGAAATTTTGTGAGACCACACATTCATTCATTCATTTGCAGTCAGCTGCTGCGTATTCCTGTGATAATTACTCAGCTGCTATTAATATCAGCCGAAATGGAACCAGCAATACCGAGATAAAGACTTTGTGTCTTATCATTCTTCAGTCTTCTTTATTTGCCATGTTTCTAGCTTGTTTTTAGACCCAAAGATAATGTTTTGCTGAATAGCATTGTTTCACATTCCTGGTAGCACTGCAAATTGCATACAGTCTAACCAAACTATAATAATTATCTAATCATATCTAATTTTCTACTTTGTAAAGTAAAGCACAAGAATGGTTTTAAAGTAAAATGGAATTGATTACATTAACAGTTCAGTGACATACTTCCTGATAATAAACTTTTCTCTAAATAAAAACAAAAAAATGCTAAGATTGAACAAAAAGATTGGATACTCTGAAGGGCTGACAGATTCAATATTCAGTTTAATTGTACAGTTAGATGAGTTAACAATGATTAATGTCCTAGATTAAATGGTATTCTAGTGTTAATTTCTTTGACCCTTACATCTAATTCATGTTAAAGTACAAAATAATTACTGCGAAACCATTCTGCAGTGGCCATTGTTTGCAGTGGTAAATTAAGCAGGTCGTGCTCTCAGCTTGAGAAAGGACAAAGTTTGAGGAAAGCCTTCATCTATCTGTATTTTAAGACATTTTTCTCCATTTCTAGTAATTCGTAATAGAGGACTTCTTTTACATTCCATTGAAAAGATGAATCAATTGGAAAAGTCCCACGTAATATCATTATTACTACTTTATGTAAAGTTTCAAAGGTTTCAAAGGGTTTCAAAGCGAATTATATATTGCACCAAATGAAATTCTCATAGAACTGCATGCAGTAAATACAGCCAGATCATCTAAATATATATGATATGGTTGTATAGAAAGAATGCATACAAAGATAATGACAAGGCATAAGTGTAAAGAACAAAAATTAACCGTTGGCATAAGGTCACTAGCTTCTGCATCATAACACTGATGGCAGTATTATATTGGTTAAGCAAACTCTTTCTAAGCACATATCCAACAGACAATAAAGCACATGCAGAAGTGAGTGTAAATATTTCATGATAGCTTAATCTCAGTACAAAAAGGCTTTCCTAGAACATTCGGTGCCGATTACTTTGCCTCCCGCTGCCGCTCTGCCTTATGATGATCAATCAGACAGACACACTGCCTACTGCAGTTGGAGGTGCAGTTTCAGCCCTTTAGGCTGGTGCCACAATTATACTTCAGGAAGAAGCGAATTAAAAAAAAAAAAAGGAGAGAGAAGACAAGGATGCAAACTAAGTTACAGGGTGACAAGGCACAAGTGTAGATTTGAAGACAGCATTAGAAAGGTTATGTTACAGCAAAGTCAACAGCAGATGTGCTGCTCTACTATTACTATTCTTTGTTGCTTTGCTATGAGCACTGCTGTGGGGCATCCACCTGTTTTAGTTTCTCTCCCATGCCATTATGGTACCAGGCAGTATTCTTTTCCATAACCATATTGGTCTCTGGAGGGAGAATTTAAAGGATTTTACCTGTGCAGTAAAGGAACATAAATCATATTGTATCCAGAAGAAAAGAAAAATCCCACTAGTCATCAGAATAGTACATCTTCATGATCTCCAAAAAAAGAAGATCAAAGATCAGTCTTGCAGAGGAGAACTTTACAGATCATCTAGGATGCCAGGATTTCAGATTCTCACACTTCACCAAAAAAATGAGAGAGATAATATATGGCATGGTCCAAACCAATTACAGATCTGTAGTTTGAAATCCAGTGTCATCAATTAATTGGCCAGCAGTTATAGTCAAAGCAACTTTCAGTTACTGTATTTGTAGTAGG